GGACTAAACATCAAGAAGACAGAATGTATGGTTGTCAGCAAGAGGAAGAGGCCAAGTAAAAAGAAAAGGGAGAAGAAAGGACTAAACATCAATTGTAAGAAGACAGAATGTATGGTTGTCAGCAAGAGGAAGAGGCCAAGTAAAGGAAAGGGAGAAGAAAGGACTAAACATCAATTGTAAGAAGAAGAAGAATTGTCAGCAAGAGGAAGAGGCCAAGAAAGGGAGGGACTAAAACAAATTGTAAGAAGACAGAAAGGTTGTCAAAGAAAGAGGCCAAGTAAAGGAAACATCAAAGGACTAAACATCAATTGAAGAAGACAGAATGTATGGTTGTCAGCAAGAGGAAGAGGCCAAGTAAAGGAAAGGGAGAAGAAAGGACTAAACATCAATTGTAAGAAGACAGAATGTATGGTTGTCAGCAAGAGGAAGAGGCCAAGTAAAGGAAAGGGAGAAGAAAGGACTAAACATCAATTGGAAAGGAGAATGTATGGTTGTCAGCAAGAGGAAGAGGCCAAACAAAGGGAGAAAAAGGACTAAACATCAAGACAGAATGTAATGGTTGTCAGCAAGAGGAAGACGCCAAGTAAAGGAAAGGGAGAAGAAAGGACTAAACATCAATTGTAAGAAGACAGAATGTATAGTTGTCAGCAAGAAGACAGAAAGGAAGAAAGGACTAAACATCAATTGTAAGAAGACAGAATGTATGGTTGTCAGCAAGAAAGAGGCCAAGTAAAGGAAAGGGAGAAGAAAGGACTAAACATCAATTGTAAGAAGACAGAATGTATGGTTGTCAGGCGAGAAAAGAGGCCAAGAAAGAAAGGAGAAAAAAGGACTAAACATCAATTGTAAGAAGACAGAATGTATGGTTGTCAGCAAGAGGAAGAGGCCAAGTAAAGGAAAAGGGAGAAGAAAGGACTAAACATCAATTGTAAGAAGACAGAATGTATGGTTGTCACAAGAGGAAGAGGCCAAGTAAAGGAAAGGGAGAAAGAAAGGACTAAACATCAATTGTAAAAAGAAGACAGAATGTATGGTTGTCAGCAAAGAAAGGAAGAAAGGACCAAATTGTAAGAAGACAGAAGGAGAAGAAAGGAGAAACATCAATTGTAAGAAACAGAATGTATAAAGCAAGAGGAAGAGGCCAAGTAAAAAGAGAAGAAAGGAGAAAGACAGAATGTATGGTTGTCAGCAAGGGAAGAGGCCAAGTAAAGGAAAGGAGAAGAAAGCACTAAACATCAATTGTAAGAAGACAGAATGTATGGTTGTCAGCAAGAGGAAGACGCCAAGTAAAGGAAAGGGAGAAGAAAGGACTAAACATCAATTGTAAGAAGACAGAATGTATGGTTGTCAGCAAGAGGAAGACGCCAAGTAAAGGAAAGGGAGAAGAAAGGACTAAACATCAATTGTAAGAAGACAGAATGTATAGTTGTCCAGGCAAGAGGAAGAGGCCAAAAGGAAAGGGAGAAGAAAGGACTAAACATCAATTGTGAAGACAGAATGTATGGTTGTCAGCGAGAGGAAGACGACAAGTAAAGGAAAGGGAGAAGAAAAGACTAAACATCAATTGTAAGAAGACAGAATGTAGTTGTCAGCAAGAGGAAGACGCCAAGTAAAAGGAAAGGGAGAAGAAAGGACTAAACATCAATTGTAAGAAGACAGAATGTATGGTTGTCAGCAAGAGGAAGACGGAAAGGAAAGGGAGAAGAAAGGACTAAACATCAATTGTAAAGAAGACAGAATGTATGGTTGTCAGCAAGAGGAAGAAAGGAAAGGAAGAAGAAAGGACTAAACATCAATTGTAAGAAGACAGAATGTATGGTTGTCAGCAAGGGAGGCCAAGTAAAAGAAAGGGAAGAAAAAGGACTAAACATCAATTGTAAGAAGACAGAATGTATGGTTGTCAAGGAAGAGGCCAAGTAAAGGAAAGGGAGAAGAAAGACTAAACATCAATTGTAAGAAGACAGAATGTATGGTTGTCAGCAAGAGGAAGAGAGGTAAAGGAAAGGAGAATAAAGGACTAAACATCAATTGTAAGAAGACAGAATGTATGGTTGTCAGCAAGGGAGAGAAGCCAAGTAAAGGAAAGGGAGAAGAAAGGACTAAACATCAATTGTAAGAAGACAGAATGTATAGTTGTCAAAGAGGAAGAGGCAAGAAAGGAAAGGGAGGGACTAAACATCAATTGTAAAAGACAGAATGTATGGTTGTCAAAAGAGGAAGAGAAAGAAAGAAAAGGGAGAAGAAAGGACTAAACATCAATTGTAAGAAGACAGAATGTATGGTTGTCAGCAAGAGGAAGAGGCCAAGTAAAGGAAAGAGAGAAGAAAGGACTAAACATCAATTGTAAGAAGACAGAATGTATGGTTGTCAGCAAGAAGAAGAGGCCAAGTAAAAAGGAAAGGAGAAGAAAAAGCACTAAACATCAATTGTAAGAAGACAGAATGCATGTTGTCAAAGAGGAAGAGGCCAAGAAAGGAAAGGAGAAGAAAGGACTAAACATCAATTGTAAGAAGACAGAATGTATAGTTATCAGCAAGAGGAAGAGGCCAAAAAGGAAAGGGAGAAGAAAGGACTAAACATCAATTGTAAGAAGACAGAATGTATGGTTGTCAGCAAGAGGAAGAGGCCAAGTAAAGGAAAGTGAGAAGAAAGGACTAAACATCAATTGTAAGAAGACAGAATGTATGGTTGTCAGCAAGAGGAAGAGGCCAAGAAAGGAAAGAAACATCAATTGTAAGAAGGACTAAAAAAAAAGAGAAGAAAGGACTAACCATCAATTTTAAGTAGACAGAATGTATGGCTGTTTGCATGAAGAAGAGGCCAAGGAAAGGGCTAAATATTAATTTAAACATTAATTGTAAGATGACAGAATGTATGGTTTTCAGCAAGAGAAACAGCTCAATATGCAAATCCAAATTAAACAATTGCAAAATTTTAAATATGTAGGAAGTGTTTTAACACTGGATAGAAATTGCAACACAGAAATGCAAAGGATCATGGGGGAAATGAAAAATGTCTTCCAAAAAGTAAGAAAAACATTAAGAAACAAGAAAACTTCATTAGTAACAATGAAAATATTACTGAACTCTTATGTAATATCTGTCTTTCTTTATGGCAGTGAATGCTTAACAATCTCATCACAGATGAAGAAGAGACTTGAGGCAACAGAAATGTTGTTCTACAGAAGGATGCTTGGAATATCATGCACGAAGCACTTAAGCAATTAAGAAGTCTTAAGATTGATAGAAAAAAAAAGATGCTTGAATGAGAAAGATAGTTGAAATTTCTAGGGTACATAAAGAAGAAAGAAAAAAATTTAAAAATTTGACACACACACACACAGGTTATATAGAAGGGAAGAGGTGGAAACAGTAGGTAACCTCCCTAATAAAGACGGGGATGAATAGGAAAAAAAAACAAAACATTGCTAAAAGATAAAAAGGAGAGAAAGTTGTATAGAGCTATGATTACCCCCATCCTGAAAGGGCACAGAAGAATCTTTAAGTTGGATTTTTTAAAAATCTACAAATGAATGATCTGGTAAAAATTTCTTTAATTTATTATGAACTGAAAGAATATTTTGGTCCTTGTTTAAAAATCATTTTCTTTTTCAAAACTCACATGATTAAAAAATAATTGACATTAACTTGGATTTAAATTTATTCATCCATAAAAAAATTAATCCTTTAAAAATTAAATTTTTTTTTAATCCAGTTGTTTCCATCAAATGTCAAAAGAGATAAATCCAACCAGACATTCAATTATCTTTCTCTCTCTCTCTCTTACATATATTTTTTAATTTATTCCTTAAACGTTATTTTTAATGGATACCCATATTTGAATAGATGATCTGGTATTTATTTATTTCCATCTTATTATGAAAAATTATCTGAAAAACATGCAATCCTTGGGAGAGCATATTTTCCAAATAAGATTTCTCAAATAATCATACCAGCACATGGAAATAAATAAATATGCTATTAATCATTATTATATATATATATATATATATATATATATATATATATACACACACACAAGATGTAAAAGCAAAATTGTTCAATTGTTAGATTAACCTCTGTATCTTAGAAATGATTAAAGATATCTCACTGGAATTCTCAGAGTTTGTTTTACACTATTGGACTCTACTCTGAGCAATAAGAATGTATAATTACTCTCAAAGCTTAACAGAAGTACGGGATGAAATCAATCATAAACAAAAAGGACATGTTTATCATTAATTAATCATAGCTAAGGATCAGAATCTCATGGAGTATTGAAATTAAGCTCATATATATATATATATATATATATATATAAATAGACAGTACTGTTTTGCTGTATCACAGCTCCTCAGTGCAACTCGACAACTGAATGCCTCAAGCCCAGATCGAAACCCAACCAATTTGGTGTCAGTCAAAGCTTCTAACACTGAGCCATCTTCAATTGACAGAATGAGTTTGCTAAATCTAGTGTATTGTTTTTACAAACATAAACAAATGCCAAGCAGCCATAGTGCTTCATTCATTTTACTGAAGAGCTTTGCATTATGCAGGTGACCGTTGTTTTAGAATTAGCTTATCATTCAACAGTGCTCAATTGAAAATATATTTTCAAGAGCTAAATTATGTCAGTACACATGCACATATATATATGTACGTGTGTGTGTGTGTGTGTATACATAATCAAGAATTAAAAATTACATTATGTATTGTATAAAGTGTTTCCCAATTGATTTTGGATGTAATTAATTGCCATGTCAAAATAATTGATTCATATGAACAATTTTCATCTCTAAGTTATATCACAATGCAAGGATATATTTTTTAAATCATATCACCCCATGCAAGGCATTAAAGCCACTAAGGCATGTCTTGGGTGTTTTAACCTGGCAGAGAACATCCATTTATAGGTTAACATACATCTAGCCAATTCAACTGTGAATTGATGAGACCTTGATTATTAAAAGAATTATGCTTTTTTTTTCCTTTTTGTTTTAGTTGACCATTCCCGTGTAAAATTGCTTCCGCTGGATGATGAAGAAGGATCAGACTACATAAATGCCAATTATATGCCTGTAAGTAAATATATATCTACTAAGAAACTAGGCGTATGACTGTTAACTCCTCCTTAACTTCCTAATTGTCACTAGGGCATACTCTCCCTACATTATAAATACTGGGAAATTTATTGCCTCATTCTCTTTTGACTTTGCATTTTAGCGGATACATTTAAAAATGTGATCCCCTCACAGAGATCTGCACTTTGCCCACTTGTTGGAAAAACACCATGAAACATGCATGCATATAGGTACCATTCACAAAATACAAATTCACCAAAATACACACAAACACAAACACAAATGAATGTCATTTGTCACTTGTAAATTTGTTGTTTAATACATATATTTGTTAACATTATATATATATATATATATAATATATATATATATATATATAGGTTTTGTTTTCTTTACATTCCGGTTGGAAAAGTCCACCATTTCTTGTTGTTTCTAGCAGGAATAAACAGCACGTAATTCAACAACAACTTTGGTCCTCTACATGACTGAGTGAACAAGACCTCACCTTCCAAACATGAAACCTGGGTTCAAATAAGATTTATCAGGAAGGTGATTTCTTGATGCTATCAGTCTGGGTGGAAAGCATAAGACAACTTTGGAAAGTTGCCTGAAAATCCAAGCCTTGGGAATGAAATTGGGTAGATGGAACTATTTGGAAGCCATTGATGGTTGTGTTAGCACAATATCACAAGTCATTGTGACTGAGAGTTTGAGGGTACTGGCATTGTTCAAACTGGAGATCATGCCAGATTACGTGCTGTCACTCAGAAAATTTAACTAAGGTTCGTTTGGTATAGTTGCAGTATAAACCACAGGTGGGCTCTGTGGGTGTGGAAGAAACAAATATGTTTGAGCAGGTCTTTGACTACACTATTTACATTATTTGGGCTATTGTCCTCATCTTTGTTGCCATATTTATTACAACGTTTTGGCCGTTGTATGCCCCGGCCTTATTCAGGTGATTTTAATGTTGAACTGAATTCTTTATTTTGCTCGCTGGGGTAGACTGTTCTAGTTCCACGTGCCATGTCTAATGGATGTCAGTTATCAGTTATCTCCTGTTAATTTTCCTCTCCAAGTTCTCCACCACCATAACCAGGTATTGAACTCCTACTAACTGCCTTAACCAGGTATTGAACTAACGCCTTTATCGACTGTGCCATGTGTCCTTGAGGATGCATGGCATGGTGGATAAAGGCATTAGTTAGATCCAGTGACAGGACCCAGAGAGTGTGAGTACATAATACCTCATCTCAGAAATATAGACAGATACAGAGATTGACTAATTACCCTAGCTTATTGGTGTGCTCAGTAAACAAGAGTAGATAGCCCTCTACTAAGAACCAATAAGTGTGTATGTGTGTGTGCATATATATGTATATATATATATATAAATAATGAAATGGATTATATCTGACAATTATTTAATATATTTTCTTTTTATACATTATTTTAATAGATACACCTTGTTTAAGTAAGTGTTCTGTTTTTTAAATAAACAGTATTAATTACATTTACCTGCCTGAATGTTTGAGAAATTTCAAACAAAATGTTTCTACAACAGGAATCGAACCTGTAACCCTAATTATAACTATCATTTGATCTGATGTGCTGTTAACTTTGTGGCTGAGTGGTTAACAGCCAGAGTAAATTGCTGAAAGGGAATTAACACAAACTGTGATATCCAAAAAAGACATGGTATACGGAATTAGAACAATCTCCCCCTGTAGACTAAATAAAGGGTTTGAATCAAAATTTCAGCATATATCACCTGAAGAAGGCCGGAGCATACAATAACTGAGACCTTGTGAATATAGCAATAAAGATGAAGTCAACAGTCTGAATGATGCAAATAGAAATATAAACAGAAATATAAACAGATGCATAGGAAAAGAAGTAAATAAAAACATGTGAATTTCATAAAAAAATAGAAAAAAAGAAAACAAAGAATTTTTTATAGCAATAAAAATGATAACAACAGTTAACATAAGGAAAATGAAAGAAAAGCAAAGAAGAAATTTCATTGGTTATTAAATCAACCATTAGAAAAGTGTACTTGTTTATGTCAAATGATATAATCTCAAAGAATTGTTTCTCCTTGACTATAACAATGTGTAGACAATCCTGTAAGCACCTCTATATTAACCTTCACTGAGAGCTTTTAAATAAAATCACGATTTTCCCAAACAGATCAGAAAATTAAATTTACCTCCTTGACATATCCTTCTTTCTTCTTATTTCATTAAATTTGTTCAAGATTTCAAATTTAGACTTCCTCTACAGATGCAGTGTGGTTGGCTGATTGTTTCAGATTATATCTGTCTGTTGTTGGAGTTGTTAGTTAATCTCCAATGCAGATGCCTGTCTAGGCACATTTGTGTTTGTTTAACACCCACAGAACCAACCTGGAGTTTATACTACAACTATTCTTAGCAGACCTTAGTTACAGTTTCTTTGAGAGACTGTATAATCTGGCCTGATCACCAGTGTGAGCAAGGCCAGCACAACCCTCACCCATGATGACTTGTGACTTTGTGCTACCACAACCATCGATGCCTTCCAAACAGCTTTATCAACTAAATTTCACTCACAAGACTTGGATCAGCTTGTTGTATGGTTTTCAGACACTTGCCAATAGTGTCAGATGCTGGGATTATTTCTCAAGGTTGGTATTAACAAGAAGTTAACCTCTTTACAAAGGAACCATAGTGAGATTCAAACAAGAGTCTCATGATTGGAATGTAAATGCCCTAAACATGTGTCTATGGAGATTAATGACTTAGAAAAAATATAGTAATTATTTAATCAAAATTTAGTGATTCATATGAATTTAGTTTCTATCTAACATTAACAAATTCTGATGGTTTACAATAGCCCATCATTATAAGAGGATAATCTGAATTGATTTAATGTGTGTATCTTTAAAAATCTATTTTCTATTTTAGGGTTACCATTCGAAGCGAGAATACATAGCTGCTCAGGGTCCTCTGCCAGGAACCAAAGATGATTTCTGGAGGATGGTATGGGAACAAAATGTATCTGTGGTTGTCATGGTAACACAGGCTGTGGAACGTGGAAGAGTGAGTAGAATATTACACACACATTATATATATATATATATATGAAATAATAAAAATGAAAGAATATTAATATACAACCCAGTGTGTCTGAAAATTTAATTTTTAATATTTTTTATTGTTCAAAACATACATATATATATATATATATATATATATATATATATTAAAAAGAAGAGAAGAGAGTTGCCGCAAACGTTTTTGGTTGTAATGTGGATTTATTTAGAAAAAATATGCTTTGTTTTATGACACGTGTTTCTGGTCTCACGACGTTAAACATTGAACATGAGGAAAAATTAATTATTTTAATAATATGTGGAAATCTCTTCTTTTTAATATACATACTTTTCTCTCGTTGGAACCACTACATTATATTTCTTTTATATATATATAGTTTGACTGTGTGTGTGTATATGTATATATATATATATATATATATATATATATATAGTTTGACTGCGTGTATATATATATATATATATATATATATATATATATATATGATAAAATATATCATTTAAATATATATATATATATGATAAATATTTATAAGTCAAAGGTGCTGAGTATCAGGGAAAGAGATTATGTAAATATAAAAGTGGACACTGAAGTTAATACTGGATGTTGACTTCAATGTCCACTATATATACAGTTAATGATGAAATTATTTCTACACCCATCAATTTTGAATATTTTTATCCATTCCTCAGAATCCGTATTATGCCAGGTTTTTTTTATAATAGGCACAAAGAAAGGAATATAAAACCTGATTTTCAGAAGAATACATTAAATATAACAAATACATTTCAGAAGAATACATTAAATACAACAAATGCAGAGAATTATGTAAAATAGGAAAAGACAAAATTATTCATACAGTAGAAAATATGGCTTTAAATGGATTTGTGTAAATATAAGTAATTTACATTTATTGGTGAAGCCTTCTAGACTATTCAGTAGAATATTTGTGATAATTCCAGCAAAGAACATCATGTGGCAGATAGTGTCACCATTGTTATTCTTACATTAACAACATGACAGGGAGGACAAAAGAGCTTAGCATTGATGAGAGACAGAGAATTATTAACTTGGGAAATAGTTACAGCACTATTTCAAACTGGTTAGCTATCCCTAAATCTACAGTTCAGTCTGTTGTAAAGATGTTTAAACAGTTTGGCACAACAGAGAATTTACCTGGGCAAGGAAGAAAACTGAAATCATTATCAAGAACTACATGAAAACTGTGTTGTGTGGTTAATAAAAACCCAAAACTTGTTTTGAAAGACATCACCAAATTTTGGATAGGAGGGTATCAGTGTAAGTATTCACACAATACAATGTTGTTTAAATAGAAATGGGCTGTATGGAAACTGGCCATAACAAACCCCTCTTCACAGAAGGGAAAAAGAAAATTCTGGATGAAAATCTACAACTATCAGCACAAAATCTTTATCTAAGTTGGCAATTTACTTTCCAGCAAGATAATGGTCCCAAACATATGCCTAAATCAGTCACTGTGTGGCTTCAGAAAAAGAAGATGACAGCTCTGCCATGGCCTTGAATGAGTCTTTTAAATCCTATTGAAAATCTATGGCAAGAATTAAAAGTTTGAATAACTCATCAGTACCAAAAGAACTTCAGGAATTAGAAGATCTAACAATTAAAGAATGGAAGAAAATCTCAGAAAGGACTTGTTCAAATCTCATTAAAAATTTTAGAAAATAATTGTTCAATTTTTTCTATTTTTCATACTGTATGAATAATTTTGTCATTTCCTATTTTGCATAATTTGCCTGTCAAATTTGTTGTATTTAACCTCTTGTTCTGAAAATTGAGTTTTATATTCCTTGGCATCATATAGGCATTAGTTTCTGAGAAATGGATAAAAATATTCAAAATTGATGGATGTAGAAATAATTTTGTCATTGGCTCCGTGCGCATATATATATATTCAGAGTAGTTTAGAGCCTCTAGCACTTTATCAAAAAGTGGTAGAAGATGAATAGTTCAATAATTTAAAGTATCAAAACTTCAGAAAGGTATTTCCAATATGAAATGGTAAGCAAACAGCAGTAAAGCATTTGTTAGAGAGTCTACAGAGAACAGGAGCAAGTTCATGAACATATTTCTTTAGAACAATTGCAAGAATACCATCAAGTCAAGCATGCCTTGTGGGAATCAAGTTTAGACATGATAGTGGAAACCATGTCTGACATTATATGTATATCATATTGTAAGGACTTGGTTCTCCTGATAAGCCAAGAGTGGAATTAGAAGAGAACTTATGAGCAAAGCATTCTGCTTTATAAGCAAAATAGATGACAACACTTCAAACTGATTGAAGAGAGGAAAGATTGAAATTTATCCTTGTTTAATTATTACAGAGCTGTAGATAATCACAAGAACCAAACTTGTGAGAGGCTATGTGCTGTTTCACTATCATTGAACAGTGTCTTAACTTCCCTGCAGACATACAATTATTATGAGTGGACACAAAGAGGTACCTGTTATGATCCAAGCTATCAATTTTGTATAGTTGGAGGAAGTGATTCCTGTGGGCTATAGTATCTGAACAGACAGGAGTGAACCAATGAAAATTTCTGAGATGGTACAAAAGCATCAATGTCAGCTTTCACAAAGAAGAAATCTCTGGCACAATTTTCAATAGGAAGATTAAAGATTTTACTTCAAGGGGAATTGTGAAGAAAACCATGGAATGGATTCCAATCAGTGCATTCATAACAAAATGATATCTTGTGAATATGGGGTTCTTGCCTGATAGATGAGTGAAAAGAAATATCAACAGATACTACAGTATGATCTGATTTGCTAAGAGGACAGAGTTGTAAAACTCGACAAGTGTCCAGAGAAGAGGTAAGGAATATTATTAGGGAGAGGAGTAGGGAAATCTGTTTAACTGAGAGACTGAGCAACTGGAAAATTCAAAGTCTGGATACCACCAAGATCAGTGGTATTAGAATGATGAAGCCATTTGATATTGATATTTCCAAATACAAAAATATTGCAGATGAATGCAGAGAGAGAGAGGTTTCTATACTGTCAAATATTTTATCAAACAAGCAACAGTCCTGAGAAGAAGGGGAACAATAAAGTGACAGTCACAGTGTTTAATAGTGAAAGTCTAAAGCACATACATTATACTCTGCTTCAAACTAGATCTCTTTCTGATTCATTCTATATTAAAACCTGTCCACCAGATGTGAATGTTAAGGAAGCAAAACTAAGAATAAAAAAGTTGCTCTTTGTACAGGGGCTACAAGCATTACGTCTGACTCACAAAAGACATCCGCATCAGAAAAAGAACAAAAACAATATAAAAGGAAACAATCAGGAATGTTACTGATAAAGTAAAACACATGACAAAAAAAAACAATGCTGAGTCATGATCCACCCCCTCTGCTATTAAGAAGGTCACTCACAACACTGTCAGACAATTAGTACATGAGTGGGTAAGCTGTTAATCTCAATAGCAATGACCTCGGTCAACCAACCCAACACATGCATCAACTCTAGGCCCTACAGACTGCTCCCATTCTCCATTTCACACCCTTGCCTATAAAAAGAATTTTATCTTAGCAATTCTTGTCTTCTTTTATTTTTGTTTCACCAGCAGTAATTATTGTTTTGTTTATTCTCTCGTACCAACATAGACGGTTTGTAACAAATACAAGAATAATCCAGCAACTCAAGAGACAATTCCTTTGTCATGGATATTTTCCCAAATATCGACATTGAAGCCATGCAGATGCACCATGGAATCAGTTTTTGTTGATTCATTCATTTCCTACAGTTTAACCCTTTGCAGGTTATTTAAAGCCAGAAAATAATATGTTGTCAAAATTTTGGTGGGGATAATAATGATTTAGTAATAAAAGTTCTACTAAGTAACACATAGCTGGAGGAAGAAGAGGTGGATTCATACTTTTCCAAGGGTATTTGTGTGTAAGTGAATATAACAAACCCAAATGGAATTGGAACTTGTCTATCCAATTAACAAGTCCCAGCCATTATCCATTACACCACACACATATCCAAGCTTGTAGGATCTGGTGTTCCCAAGTAGTCATCCATCTAGGTCCTGAACAGACTTGACATTGCTTAACTACAGTGATTGTATGTGAACTGGTGTTTCAATCTGATATGGTCATGAAGCTTGGAATCATTTTAATAAAGAGAAAGGTAGCCTAGAAAAGAGAATTCAAGTGTGTGTGAAATCAATATGTATTCACTTACACACATATGTATATTGTATAGGTGGCAACACTTTTCAATGTTTATGCAAAAAATAGTTATGATAGATAACTGACTTAGTTTGATTTGGTTTATTTTGTTTTATGGCATAGTGGCCTCAATGGGTTATTTAATACCAAAAAGATATTTAGGATATATTCGTATGAATAGAATATGTATTCTTTGTAAGAAATCAGGTCAGGTTTCGTTGACAAATTTTTGTAAAGGAGGTTTTTTGTTGATAATCTATCGTTGGTAATATTTTTTTTTCAAAAATGTATTGATGGTAATTTTACTATAAAAATCTGTTTTTATACTTTCATAGTATTTTGATCTCAACTTAACTCAGTGTTTTAAAATGATCTAATGACATACAAGAAATAGGATCATTTTCTTAAAGTAAAGCAATCTCACTCATTGACAAAAAAATTGACAATTAACAGGGAGTTTATTTTCCTTTCAGATTAAATGTGAAATCTACTGGCCAACAGGGACGGATCCTGTTTATTTTGGTGACCTTGTGATTCAGTTACGATCTGAATCAAACCTTTCTGATTACATTCTGAGGATCCTGGATGTACAACTGGTGAGCCAATCAATTACCAATTTTTGATTCCAATGAAGTTAAATACAAATATTTGCTCAAATAAATTCATTACCCATCATCATTAGTTTTAGTAAAAGATCAATTCAAAATTCAAAAGTGAATCTGGTCTTGCAATGAAATATAAATTCCTGGCAAAAATCACTCCACTTGGATGTTATTCATATTTCTTTTAATTTCACAGCAAAATCAACAAATTAAAGAAATGATAATGTTACTGAATGCAGAGATTGGGATAAAAAAAAATAACAGTGCCTACCATAATGGTCAAAATTTTGAGAACATGAACAAAATAGGAGCGGTTTGAATCTGAAGGGCATGGAATCTGAAAATTATTTTTGTTTTAATCGGAATCACCGCAAGCAAGGCAGTAACAATGCAACTAAAACTCAAGTGGGTCAAAGGGAGTGGAAGAATTAGCAACAGAAACATTAAATGAAGAGCAGAAAAAGAAAAGAGTAATCAGGTGGACAGTAGATAGCGATTGTCATTGCATTTAAATTTCTGCAGATTAAAGTTGGCTAGAAAGCATAGAGCCGGAAGGTAGTTACACAAGTGAAAAGTGTGAGTGAATAAATTATTAGCATAGAACTTACGGTTACATCTGGAGCAGTTCATCTGTAAATTGATGAGCTCTCGACACCAGTGTAGTATTGCACTTAAATTCATTCATTACCATAGTGGAGAACTCATTTGAACAATTTGAATGAGAGTAGAAAAGATATAGAAAAGTGACTTTATGGCAGTGGGAAAGTGAATGGTGCTTAGCCACCAGATCAGGACCATTAATTTTGCAGATTCTTTGGTTGTTATCAAGTAGCTCAAGGTAAATAGCAGGGACACTGGACCATTTTTGGCAACAATATTCTAAACCTGGGCTAATGGTAGACTTATAGATATGTAAAATTCTGGAGAGAAAAATTCTTTGGCCTGACATAGTGAACAGACTTTCTTAGCAGCTGACTTTGTAATGGCTTCAATATAGTCTTTCTACTTCATATCAGCAGAGAATGTGAGCCCGAGAAGGTGCAACGTGTCACTTCCTTGGAGGATACACCTGCCATGTTGATAGAAGTCAGCAACGGGTCTCTCAGATGATTGATGGAATGAAGTTTAATTTTGGAAACATTAAAATTAACAAGTCATCTTTAATCCTCTGAGATTGTCGTTGAGTTTCAATATACAGGTTGAGAATCCATTATTGGAAATTCTTTTGGCGAGAAGAACTTTTTCAGATTTTTTAAGATTTTGGAATACAGGCTATTTAATTTCTATATAGCATCTATAAAATGGGGCAGCATGGGAATGGAACCCAAGCATAAACACAATATACCTTTACATTTCATAACACAGCTTATACATATGCCCCAAAGGTAGTTTTATATAAATAATATATACCCTGAAAGTAGTTTTATATAAAATTTAATAAATTTTGTGTCCATACAGATACAGGTAATGAGACTAGTCAGATAATTCTCACACGGATTTTTAAATGGTAAAATTAAGATTTCATGTAAAAATAATATTTTGTACTTTCTGTATGTGTACAAAAAAAAAAAACATGATCATTACTTACAAAAAATATATATATAAATGTAGGATTTTTAAAATATTTTGAGTTATCTTTACTGGGCACAAAAGACTGGGTAAGTGACAATTGCTGTGACAATTGCTAACAAAAAACTGGCGCCAATGTAAGTTATGAAGAGAGAATTGAGAAGAAAGTTATGAGGAGAACTCCCACCGAGGGCAGATGATGTTACTTACAACAACTGTACATGAATTAGAAACCTTCCCAGTACTTTCTGAAATTTTCCATTTGTGGCAATTCATTTCAGATTTTGGAATTCTGCATAAGGATACTCAATCTGTATTAACCAAATAAACATCATATGAACAGAATAAAGCCATCATGCCACTGTAATAATTTTTTATACCAACATTTTCAGCAAGATGTGTATTTTCTAAATTTCTTTTTATCATTATACAAAGCCCACCCTGAGAGAAACATTTGAAAAGTTTTCTAATGTTTACATTAAAAATAAAAATTAATTCAGCAAATTAATTTTTTCACTTCTTTAATTAATTCAGAGAAATCTAATTAAACAGATTATTCTGATTTATTTAGATAGTTTTTTTTTTTTTCTTGGTCCATTCAGCTAATTTATAATAATATGAAATATCAGATGACAACAATGCTTATTATGAACTCTGTAGTGTTTCTATCTTATAGCTGAATTTTGACAGATATAAATTCTTTTTATACAAACACAAATTTAAAAATGAAACTTTATCAACAGATATACTGCTTATATATGACAACTTTTAAAATTTATATTAAAAATAAATAAATAAAAATAAACAATACAGAAGCATTTATTAAAGAAAAAAACATGGTTATGCAAACTAAATATTACCACTAATGTTGTAAATGTATTTCTGTTTCTATTCTATGTATATGTTGCAGATTTGAATCAACCCACAAAGAAAAAGGTGTTTAAATATAAAAATATTTTATATTTTGTTTGTGTTTTTTACAACTAAATTTTTCTTAGCATATATGAGTGCTAAAGTTCTTACAGTCCTTGTTTGTAGTTGTTTGTTAAGATGAAAAGAAATGTGATTTCTTCACGTGTATATGCATGAGAAAGAAGAGGCAAGAGAGAAAGTGAGGAGGAAAGTGTAAGTGTCATGTAGCTTGGTGAGGAAGATGGATGAATAAGTAAGGAAATTTCTTTTAAGCTCAGTGTGTTATAAACTGTTGCAGTATGTATATCCTTACTGCCTTGTCTGCTCCAGAAACTTTGCTTCAAAGGGATCATGAAGCATATTTTTTGATTGCTGGTGAGAATGTGATCCATTGGTTGAAAAATGCTAAATATTTATTTTCAAAGCATTAATTTATTAATCAGAAAGAAGCATGACTGGAATCTGAACTTGGTTCTTTGATTCCTCAATATGAACCATTAACCATTACTCCACCTGTATGTACAAATATGAAAAAAAGTAAAAAGTGCTCTAGTGTATGTATATGCAGTTATACATATGTAATAATGTATATGTGTACATATGTAGATATATATGTACATACAAAAACTAATAAAAGTCCCGGATTTGAAATCCTACAATGCCAAACAGCTCTGATACATATAAAACAGAGACTATCTTCAAGTATAAAACCAGGAAGTGATAAGCAAGAGTAATTAATGTGATTTATAGAAATCAACTTATCAGAGGTTCCAAGATGTTTTCCTAACACACAATTCTGTCTTTCTTTTATTTAAACTGATAATGCCAAAGAGAACAATTTTTCTTCAGTGAAATGCATCTTTAATAAAATTTTCTGACTTTGTTCGAGATACTATGTTATATCCTATATATATATATATATATATATATTGTTACGAACTTGTAGTATATAGATGAACCATGGGTTTTAAAAAAACGGAAAACGTGGGATCTTTTCTCGGTCTTCAACCAGGAATGGAAGCGACACAAGGGAATCAATGAAGAACAGACACAAGACGATGGATTTCAAATTAAAACATTTATTTATAAATATATATAAAGAAATAAAGAAAGAAAAAAAAAGGAACATTCATTTAACAAAGGGGAAGGAGATCATTAAAGAACAGAAGGCGCGAGCAAATACATACATATATAAAAACAGATTAAACCAAGAGAATCAACTTATCTTTTAGTCGAGTTGATATTTTCACACAAAGTTCTGATTCGCTGAAGCGCGAGTTCTGATGCTAAAACAATATTTTGGCTGGCCGGCAATTTTCCTGCATTTCTTTTCTTTCACAATCGTTCGATGGTCTACAGTATCTCGTACAGGCGTTTCGTTGGGTTGATTCAGTTTCATAGCAGTCCTTTCACCCCTAGTCGACAAACTTTGCTGTCTTCTTCATCTCAGTGGGCAGTCTGACGATTTTGCCCAGTGACGTTCAACTGCCGCTGGTCAGAGGGAAACTAAAAATCCTTTTTTTGATTTTTGCTGTCCCCAAAGACAGTCACATGGGTTCCCTTCGTCCTTGACCGGGTATACAGGAGGATGGGGCGCAAATCACGCAGTGTTTGTGTGATGGCCAAAAGTTCAATACACGCTTAGTATGTTCTGATCACGTGAATCGCAGCAGAAGATCCTGATGGTGCCTGGAATTCACTTATGGTCAGCCGCCTGATAGCTGCGAAATTTTGGAACCAGGTCATTCTCGTGTCGGGTCACTTCAAAGTTCACGAGCCCTTGGCTTGTGGGTGGAAGAGTAGATAAACAGGGAAAGAATTTGTGAAGAGAAGGGGAGTGCATGGCTGATCATGGAACATATTCACTCACAAGTCGAAAGCATTGGATTAAATTTCTATATTTATTTATTTATTTTTCTTTAAACTATATCTAACTAATTTTCGATTAGAATTTGAGGTTTTACTTTGGGGTGCTTTTTAGCCTTACACCTATATGGTTAATGAAATCGTGGCTATGTGACAATATATATATATATATATATATATATATATATATATATATATACACAAAATCCCAAATCACCTCATATGAGGAATAGGCTTACTTCAACTGACAACATTTTTCAGTCTTATTCAACCCCAATATAGCCTGAGTTTGTGTTGGAATCTGACACAAATTCAGTCTATACTGGGGTTGAATAAGACTGACGAATTTCATTGGTTGAACTAAGCCTATCCCCCATATGAGGTGATTTTGGATTTTATTCTGTATTAATTATTTGCTTCTTAATAATAAATACATTGAGCTCTTTTTTGTGGATCAGTTTTAATATTTTATATTATTAGGATCCACTTGGATTAAATACCAATGTATTTATTACCTTTACTATATAAAAATAAAAGGTGGTTGGCTAACATTTTTTTGTTTGGATAAAAACTGTGCAGTTATGAAAAATCTCAGAAGATTTATGGCAAAAGAAATGTTGCTTAAAGAGGAACAAATATAAGGAGGTTGGCCAACATTTATTACCTGTTAATAATGCAGGCTGCTTTGTTCTACTGATGTAAGTTAGGGACATATGGATGAATTTGTAAAAGAAAATGTGGAAAATACTCAGATCTGACAGTAGAGATTCAGGACCTTTCATTTCCAGGTTCTTTGTCTGCTGAGAGAGAGACAGAGAGAGCAGTAATAATTATTATCTAACCTGTTGAATTATTTTCTCTCCATTTCTTCAAGATGCTACTACTACTACTACTACCGCCCCCACATTCCCACTGAAATAAAGCAAATAAGAAAGGAACCTGAAGTAAAATGTCTTTCATTCAGTCTGTGAATTGCCAATAGATCATTAGAATTCAAAATTGAATACAATGCAGCAATAATTATGAGAAAAAAAAAAGTCTTATTTACTAGCTAAAGATTCTGGCTTCAGGAAACAAATTAAATGCAATTTTTTAACTAATGGGATAGTTTTGTCCAGAAAAACAGTCAAAAATATGACATCACTCAATGTTGAAGAAAAAATTATAGAATCATCTACAACTTCTAACATTATTTTTAATGGCTACCCATGTCTGAAATAGATGATCTGTTTTTTTTCCTTAATTTTTAAACAGTGTGTATTATGTGCATTGCCCTTTGGCCTGCACACTTGACAAAAACTTAAAGAAAATGTGATGTTGAAAAATGATTTTATCATCACCAAAACTTTTTTCTGTTAATGGAATGAGAAAAGTGTTTCGCGTTGGAAATATATTCTGTATGTATATGTGAAATTAAAAGTTTTGCAGTAGTGAGGAGTATAAAAAGGGTATTTTTAGAGTACCATAACTTGTGTGCTGTTAGAGTACCATAACTCATGCTAATAGAAAAAGAACAAGAAATAACACATAACCCTGGAGATGAAATGCTGTTGAAGGGCAAATAAGGATTTATTTAGTTGTAAAGAAAAATTACATTATTGCATAGAAGGAGTAGAGATTTTCACCATATAGTAGCCTTGACTGCTGCTGTTAACACTCAATTTTTGGTAACTGTTTGTCTCTCTGTGGTCATTGGTGTCAGGCTTCAGTGGGTCAAAATCTTTGGCAAGTGCCTGAGCAAAATGAGCAAGAAACAGGTTAATAACTTAACTAGCTCAGATGAGCCTTCTACCATGGAGTTGAATTGATGGTGGTTTATATAGTGTTGGAATGGGTTGAAAGTAAACTGTTGGCTGAAGCTGTATGGATGCTTTCTGATTGGTCAGAAAATAGGTTTTGATTTTTTAAATTTTTCTTTATGTCATGGGAATGGGTGTGTGGAACTGGCTTAAAATTAAGTCAGTTAGTTTGGCTGTTGTGGTGAGCACTTTAGTTCTCGTTGGAGATCTAACAGTCTATGACAAGAGAAATGTTTTTAAAAGTTTTTTTTAATTTAAAGTAATACTTGGTCACCTTTTTTGTATGGGTTCTAATAATTTGTTAATTTTTTTTTGTTTGTTACATTTGGAAATTTCAGGGGGATCAAAAGAGAGAAGTAAAGCACTTCCATTTTCTGAAATGGCCAGATTTTGGTTGTCCTGCCAACACATCACTGTTGATCAATTTTATCCAGACTGTTCGTTCATACATGCCTTACACAGCAACAGGACCAACCATCATTCATTGCAGGTAGGTGTTTATTGAATTTCATTTCAAGTAACAATTATCATTATCATATATAAAATTATCATTATCATATATAAAATGAAATACAGGAAAATTAACTGAATGTTGAAATGTTTTATTTATGTGTGAAATTTTGCTACTTTATATGAGCATTTTCAAAATGTCAATGGAAAATCTAAAGAGAAGTTATTAGCATAACAACACTGCTATATAAAACACTGTTGGCAGTTTACCATGCTAAAGACATCTCCTCAAAGCTTTCAGTTGAATTTTGAAAATGTCCCCATAAAATAATGAAATATCAGCTCTAAATAAAAAAATTGGTTTTCATATATTTAATTTTAAAATAAAATATTTTGGTGGATATTACACACACACACACACACATATATAATATAATTTAGTGTATTAGGGCAACAGATCATTATTCAAACATATAGCATTAAATATAACAGCCAATGAATATCTATTATGTTTGATCATGAGCCGTTCTAAGCTTCATATAGTTGATTTAGTTTTGGGAGAAAATGAAGACAAAAACTGTCCAACATTTGAATATTTTTTATTATGCTCTTCCTTGATCTAAGCTTTCAACTCACATGAGCCATCTTCAGAATGGTTATATGGACAGTTAAACAAAGATATCCATTATCAAAAATTATATTCTGTTATGTTGACAAATATATATATATATATATATATATATATATATATATATATATATATATATATATATATATATATACATACATATGAAGAAATATAAAAAGAAATAAGGTGTGCTATATTTATGTGATGAAGTGCTCAATATCAGAGATAGAGCATATGTAAATATAAAAGTGAACATTGAAGTCAACACTCAGAGGTGACAGGCTGTTTCATGCTAGATGCAATCGTCAGGTATATATATATATATATATATATATATATATATATATTATGTATGATAAAGTGGAAAAAAGTTTTCTTGTGACACATTTCATCATTTAAGATCATTTAAGACTTGGTATCGAACATACACAGGAATAAGAGATGCTAAGTTTCCAGATTCCTTGTTTATGCACATGTATAATCCACACATAACACAGGAATAAGAGATGCTCATAAGAGATTTTTTCCACTTTGTCTTATTATTGTTTTTGCAATATGTTTTAAATCCCATAGACATAACATTTTATAAAATTCTTGTTCTCTAGCCAATTTGTTTAGTCATCAAGGAAGGCTCAGATTTTTCCCAAAACTCCACGAAATCGCATCATAAGACAAACTTTTTGTCCATTGTTGTGATGATTTGTCTGTGAATGTGCTGTTATAATTATTTTATTTCAAATATGTTTTTTTGAATAATATAGACTATATTATATATATTTCTATTTTTTATAAAAATTTTTACTTAAATGTTCTTTTAGTAGATACAATTTGTTGATTTACTTGTTAAGATGAAATTCATCAAGGAAGGCTCAGCAGTTTTTCCCCAAGGCTTACCCAAAATTAGTACTTTCAATCAACTCCAAGATAATCAGTCAAGGGGGAAATTTCTGACAATAAATAAATGGACAAAAAAACAAGTATTTACTAAAAATATTTAAAGTGATTGTTGTGATGATGATGAAAATTTTCCTTGTTTATTTTTGGATAAAAACTTTGTGGCAGAGTTCTACTTAAAAAGGGTCCCTTATATATATATATATAAATATATATATTTGTTCAGTGCATCAGTTTGGAGATCATTTTAAAGATGAGAAGAGGGGGCAAAAAAGATAGGTAGTAATCCTCGTTGGGCTGTCACCCACAGGAGGCAGCTCATTCAACACAAGTTGGCAATGGTCTAAGGACCACCAGTGGAAGATGACACACATTAAACACACAACTGAAATGTGATATTTGTTGTATATATATATATATATATATGCCTGAGAGGATAATTCCAGTATGTGGCACCAATTACCTGAGCACCATAATTACCACACACACACACACATTTATATATATATATATGCCTGGTTGATTCAGTATGTGGCCTTACCTGAGCACCATGAGTGGAATTGGGTAGACAAAACTGTTTTTAAGCTATTGATTATTGTGCTAGCATGAAATCACAAGTCACCATGACCAAGGCTGTGAGAATACTGGCCTTGTTCAACTACTGATCATACCAGATTGTGCACTCTCTCCCAGAAACTGTAACTAAGGTCTGCTGAGCATTGTTGCAATAAGCCACTGGTTGGCTCTGTTGAAGAAACAGCCATATGCGTGAGTAGGATTTTGCAACAGGGATTATCTAGCAACAGAAATATGCCTGACTAGGATTTTGCAACAGGGATTATCTAGCAACCCTGGTAGATATACAGTCATGGATACAGACAGCAGCCATACTGAGATTTTATATATATATATCATGCAGATATTTACATACAAATGTGCAAAATTTAGGTTTTATGACCAAATTTTTAGGCCCAAATCACGGGGATAGACTTATATATGAGTAATGGTTTCTTTAGGTTAAAATCCAAGCATGATGGCAAAGGTTAGAATATTCAGATATGCCCCATATACATGCATGTTGACCTATAACAGCAATCTCAAAGTTTAAAGGATAAGGACCAAATCATATTTTAGATAAGAAATCTAGTGGTAGGATGATTTAGGTTTAAGTTATTGGATTACTGACGTTTCTAACCATAATGGGTCATTCAATGTCCAATATTTATTTTCATTTTTTCCTTCTTTAAATACAAACCTAAATATATAAGTATTATGTAAATAACTTTAGTGTTACCTTTTCTACATTAGTTACTACCAGGAATATTTCTCAGTGGATCTTCTATTATCACAATGTGGAATATTTAACCCTTCAAGTCCTGTGTTTTTGAACAATTTTAACCCTTCTGCCTGAGCTCCTGAGTCAAAATTTGCAAATAAGTGGTATGTAATGTTTCATGGTAGATATAAAAATATTTAAAACTGTTCAACCGGTGGCTGGACATTACATCATTTTTGTCTACCACCGGTAAAGCTGGGCTGAAAGAGTTAAAAGTGAAGTAAAAAAACAAATGAAAAGAAAAAGAAACTAATTTGAATCTAGACTATATACTCTAAACATGTCTTAAAAAATTTCAAATTTTAATTTTAATTTCAGTGATCACACTTCTTTATGTATGTAGTTGCATCAATGTAAACATCACTTTCTTCTTTATGCACCATGTCCCCTCAGTAAATAAGCAATCATGGCTCTCTACAACTTCCTGTATTTTGTAGCTCTTAATAAACATTGGTTTTCTGATATTTCTCCTAACTCTTATTCCACCATCCATTTAATCAAGCTCACCAAGTATGTTATATGTTGCTTTCTGCTATCCCTCTTGCTCTCTGTCTCATGAGTATCATATTTTCCAAGCCCTCCTTTCTCATTATATGCCCCAGAAACCTCAACTGTCTCTTCCTGATCTTAAGTATTAGTTTCCATTTTCTCCAAAACTCAGTAATACTTGGATAGAGTGGTTTGATTTCTCAGGTCACTATTAGGGGATGGAATGTCGGTGGCTGTCTGGTGTTTTTTCTTCATTTACAGAAGATTTTGATTGGAAGAGTTGAACATCTCAGTGTTCGCAAAGTGAATTTATAATCAAAATGGATAATTAGAGTCTCTGTCTTCTTATCATCATCAAGATACATACTCGACTCTCCCATCGAATTCAATGTATGAGGGTCAAGCAGATCAGTTCCTAGGAACTGACAGCCCTACACAAGCACATGAGATTTGATTATAGTGGTGCAAGTTTTGTGTAGAACCATCCACACTTTTTGAAGGGCTGAATATACGAGACCTGGTGTACTACATGCCACAAGGTCCCCAAAGGACCCTCTGTAGGTTTTGAATTCAGAGTTGTCCTTCTACACCAGTTGCTATCCAAGGCTATAGAACCCAGTCTGTCCTGCTATTTACCCATAGCTGGAGGAGGAAGAAGACTCCATCATGCCTCTCTCTCTCTATATATATATATATATATATATCTTATTTATTCAAAAATTATAACAAATATGTTATAAAATCACTACAAAAATAGCCATTTTGTTTCAACACTTCTGATAGTGATAGTGTTGATAAGATACTAGAAGTGTTGAAACAAAATAGCTATTTTTGTAGTGATTTTATAACATAATTTTCAAGTAAATAATTATATTTGTTCTACTCTGTATTGAGCAACCTTTTAAGAATAGTATTTGTTGGTTATTGGAATTTATTCCGTATACACCAATACTATACTTGGGTATATATGTATATACATATATGCACATTTCATTGAAATGGCATGAAAGAAGGATTGCTGCCTAAATACACAAATATATATATATATATATATATATATATATATATATATATATATATATATATATATATATCCCTAAATAATATAAAATATAACTGAACAGCTGAAGAAGAAATGATCTACTTATTGCACATTCAACCAAATATTGAAGATATTGTGAAAAACCACCAGGCACAGTTTTCACCCTATATAAGCTGCACAAATAGGTGAATAGAAACATTGAAATAAAGTAAATAAAGTAATTTCACATATGTGTGTTTTTTTTAAAATCGATGGATTTATTTTATAGCATTTAAATGCATACCCTTTAAAAATGTTGCTAAGTGTACCATGATATTTTTATTTGCTCATAGGTGTGCTGTTGCTTAAAAAGGTTGAGAAACACTGTATTAGAACAATAGTTGAGAATAAAAAAATATGTGCAATGTGAGCAAATGGGTCACCACACCTGACCATCTTACAATTGTGGTTCATGGTAGCATTCAATTCAGAATAGTACAATAGCTTGCCACTTCCTTTTGCATCAAGGATATTGATGTTATCCTGCCATCCTCTGAGGGCTGGATTTGTTTTTGAAGTTACTTTCTTCTAGTCTTTGTCTGAAGAGGCAAGACATACAAGTCAGCAGGTGGTTAGAATTCAGTTTCCTTCTGCTAGACTGGTTGTCAGCAAAGGGTATAGAACCTAGTGTGTCCTGTTATTTTACCTATAGCAGGGGGGAAAAGGATTTATACCATTTCCAAGATTATTAGTATGTAAGTGAATGTAATAAAATCAACTGGAATTTGAACTAGACTCTCTGATTCCTCAATCAAGGCTGTTAACCATGCCTTTATTAATGTCATATGCAAACAAATAATATAACGCTTAATTACCATTAAGCCTATGATCCGTGTGTTTTTTTTTATTCCAATGCAGTTATCTTTTTTCTGGGAGAAGTGTGTTCCTTCTGGTTACCAGGCCAATATATGGAACCACAAACCTGCCACTACAGACCACATCCAGAGCTGACCTAGTTTCTGAGTTGGCTCTGCAACCAACTTTGTTTGGTTCAAGATTCAATATTGTAAAATCTTTTTTGACCTACACATAGAACTTAGTTTGCCTAGGGTGTTTAATAACTAAGATGACCTCCTGAATTCTGCCTTTCAAGAACAACAGCTGCAACAACAACAACAACATGGAAAGTGAGTCTGAGAAGATAAATATTTTCAAGCATGTGTCAGTCTGGATGATGCCAATGAGTCATAGTTTGAAGATTCCAGACTTAAAACATGAAAGGATAAATATATGAAATAATTTTTGAAAGACTTGTTGATTGCATTATTTTCTGATATTTTAATTTCAAAGTGCTGGAGTTGGTCGAACTGGGACTTTCATTGCTATTGACTGGCTGTTGCAACATATTCGGGAACACTCAGAAGTTGACATATTTGGACTGATCTTGGAGATGAGAGGTTATCGTGTCAATATGGTCCAAACTGAGGTAAGTGATCATCAAATATCCAAGCAACATTTGTGATATTTTCTCTTCATATTTTTTTTCCTGGCATCTAACCAAAGATAAATTTTAACAATAGTGCTTTGTGTTCAACAGACAATTGTTTTTCATGATAATATTTTATTAATAATGATTTTCTTGATAAAATAATACAATGATTTCTACATTGACTGCACTGCTGGATAAGACACTATATTTTTGTTTCTTATGCAAATAATGACTCAAAAAATATATTCTAGGTTAGAGGTGCCCAAACATTTTAGACTATCAACCACTTTATAGAATCCTAGACCCTCTATCCATAAATAAAATGTCAGAGTAGAAATTCCTTTGTGTTGTAGAGTAGTTTTCACAGTGGAGGCTTGTATTTCAATAAGTCGTCCTAAATTAGGTTCGACGTACAAAACGTTAGGAACTTGAAATAAGAGTTAATGACGCAGCAATCTAGTTGTGATGGTTGGTACTTCAATGTTCGATATTGACTGACTCGCTCAACACCACTGAGCCCAACTGGCTACTGCTACTACTACTACTACTAGTAGTAGTAGTACTTATGTGTGGGAGAGTCTATTAATAATAGAATAGGTACGTCAGATATGACACTTTGCCAGTTTCCTTTGTTTTAATTTCTTGATAAAATTCAGCTTAATTTTATAGATTCTTTTTTCAATTTCTATTCCACTATTCAATATGAAAATGTTTTTAAACATATTAAACATTTTTGGAATTTAATTTTTTGTGTGAATAATAATAATAATAACAATAATAAAAAAAAACATAATAATAATACTGTGATGAAAGACCACAAAAACAGAATGTGCTTTTTATTTAGTTTCTACAAATTGTAATGTATCATTGAAGATGTTAAAAAAAAAAAAAAAAAAAAATCAAATTCAAAGATCTCAAAGTGGAAATCTGAAAAATAAAGCACATGAGGACATCAATAATTCCAGTTGTATTTGGAGCCTTTGCTTTAACTGAAAAAGGTTAGATTCTTTGAAGGGATTCCTGGTAGTCCATGCCTTAAAGAAATACAAAAAAATTGTTCTCACAAATACACCTCATACATTATGAAGTACATTATCTTTGTAAAATGTGTATGATTTTTTTTTTACAAAAATGACCTTAGGTCTCTGGATGAGATCCAGAAATCAAAGGAAGTAATAATAATAATAATTGGAGGGTAGAAATTCTTTTGCACTTTTCCTTCATTTTAGTTTCTTGATAAGATCCATTTTAATTTTAAATTTTCTTATGCCTTTTTCAATTTCTATTTCAATATTCAACATTATCATTTTATGTAGTATTATAGTTAATGAATTTTCTAAGTAACAGTAAATTTGTTTTTGGAGACTGGTATTTCTTAGGCATGAATAGAATCCTATTTTTAATAGAGATGGCCAGGGAGAGAGAGAGAGAGAGAAACTAAAACACATCCTCAGGCACATACACCTCACTCCCAACACAATGTGGAAGACTCTCCTCTTAAAAAGCAGATGTCATTTCTTTAGTTGCCAACAAATGCTACCAAAACAATCTGTCTAGCTCAGACAGTGAAAATAGCAAATTTGAATTCTTGAGAATGTCCAGTGAGTTAGGGTATTATTCTATATGCCACACCCATTGTGGTGAACCATCCTTACTCCCTTCCTATTCCATTGATGAGAGGTAAGTTCCACTTGAGCAGCCTTGTCAAACTGACTCCCAAGAAGATGCTTCCATGATTACTACAATCTTAACTTGTTCAAGTCTAGGGTTAACTGTTATCTTTCTTCACTTATCCAAATAAGCTCTGCTTCTAACACTGTTACACTCTACTTTGAGTGGCTCCCGAACATTGTACAGAGTGAACATTATTGTAAAGAAACAAAAACTTAGATGAAAGTGTTTTTTGCAAATAATAATATGTGAGGAAATCATATAATAATAATAATAATAATAATAATAGTTCCATACAACCAAACTTGAAGTTCCTGTATTCTGCTTGAAAACATTGACCAAATGCTTACTTTAAAATTAGCAACCCAAAACTTTTTCTACGATTGTCTTCTTAATGCTTTGTGGAATCCTTGATTTCACATTAACCACCAGGAATGTACAAAATATATCAAAAATATAATTTTCTTTTTTTTAATTTAAGGCTAGAAATTCTTTTTCCATTTTCTTTCACTATTGTTTCTCAATAAAATTCATTTTAACTTTATGTTTTGCTATTCCTTTTTTAATATCTATTTTTCTTCCTATATTAGCTGCGTTTGTGTAAATAATTCAAATAACAATGAGAAAAACTTCATTCACAACATTTTTCTTTGATAAGCGGCAGCAAGGGCATTATATTTGGCTGGGAATTGGCAAGTTTGAGTTGTAAGTCACCACTATTTAATTATCAACCCTCATTTGACTTTTAGACATTTTTCGACCTCATTTTGACCCCAAAGCATTTATCAATTCTTTAGATATTCCCATTGCCATCCAAAAATCGATATCAACCAATTTGGGGACCCTGGTATATATAAACAGTCAATATTTAGTGTTGATCTATCTATCGATCTGTGCTAAAAACATTAGTTCTAGTGAGGACAAATTAATCAAATTCTAAACAGAAGTTTAAAGGGGGTTTGAATTAAATAAACAATCTTCTGGCGGTGGAATCAAAGCTCAGTGATAAGAGCATCGGGCAAAAGACTTTATAAATTCTCGGTTTAACAATAAATATTAAATTGTTTTGTTAAGTCGTCTTCATGAAAATTGCACTTTTCATTGTTTCACTTGCTATCCAGACAAGCTCTTTAAAATAGGGAGTTAAAGAAAAACAAAAAAAAACATTCACATTCGGCAATTGTACTTTATGATATAGTCTTATCTTCTGCTTGCTTCCTCTCTTTTATGTACAGTGTCCATCCAGAACTTGGGTGACCATGGTATTCCATAATTCCCTGTCCATTTTACACTTTAGTGAATTTTTTTTTTTTTTGCTATGTCTCCAAATCATTGTTCTGCAAACCATTTACAGAATCTCCTCCTCCTCCTCCTTTTATGTATTATTCCTTCAGAATAATAATGAGAAAAACTTCATAACTTCTATTGCACTTATTTCTTGTAAAATTCTTCTGGCTTCTTGCTTCCCAGTCAAATTTGATGTTCAAAAATTTAAATGCGTTGTAAATCACCGACTTCTGTCTTCTTGATTCTTGTTCTTTCTCATAAATATTGTTTGTTCTTTTCTTATATTCTAACACTCAATAACCCATTATGGCTTAGTGGCTTTATTGCCTTGCTTGGGATAAAATGATAAAAAAAAAGAAGAAAAAAAGGTAATGAATACATTAAAATAAATTAATCTCCCTTTTTATTGAATTGGTTGATATCTGTTAATAAGGAAGACATCTTTAATGAGCAGTAGTGAGGGCATTGATATTTGGGTGGAAATTAGAAACTTTTTAAAATTAATGTGGATACATTACAATTGACCTTTGACTTGAAAATATTAAGATTAAGTTCAGGGAAGCACTTACCCAGGAGTTTCATGGGCAAAAGCTGTCTGAATGGGACTTTCTTCTGACATTTAGAACAAGTAGAAAGGAGGATATTTCAGCTCTGTGAAGGTACCACAGTGCATCGTAGATGTAAAGGTCTGAAGTGGTGGAACTAAAGAAGTGAACTCTTCTAAACATTTACCATGTATGAACATATATTTCTTATTGCTATAAATTCTGTTTTATTTTGTTTTTAACAGTGACATTAATAATGACCAGCATAGGTTGAAAAATCCTACTAAAGAAAGATTGTGCCTTTTCCATCAGGAAAAAAATGCTTCTAGTATTCTAGTGAGAAAAGGGGAATGCAGATTTAATTCCAGTAGTAGACACACACTCTTTCTTTAGAAGAGCTTCTTGATCTAGGCCAGTTGTTATTAATTTCAATGTTTAAGAAAATAAAGAAAAAACAGGAAAAACACTCAAATATGAGTATCCATTAAAATAACATTTATGGTAATAAATAATGTCAGATAAAAAAATCCATTAAAATATGTGTGTGTGTGTGTGTGCGCATGTGTAAGAGAGAGTGAGAGAGAGAAATTGAGAGAGAGAGAAATTGAGAGAGAGGGAGTGAGAGAGAGAAATTGAGAGAGAGAGAAATTGAGAGAGAGAGAAATTGAGAGAGAGGGCGAGAGAGAAATTGAGAGAGAGGGAGGGAGGCAGTAAGAGAGAGGGATGAGAGAGAGAAATTGAGGGGGAGGGAGTGAGAGAGGGAGAGAGATAGGGAGGGAGAGAGATAGGGAGGGAGAGAGATAGGGACTCTAGATTTTAAAACTTCAATTCTTTTGGTATTTTTCAGCTCTTTACCATTTTTGCTCTTTATAAATCTTAATTAACTATTGAATAATTCTTCTGGATTAGCATCCTCATCTTGGTTGTTTTTATCACAATATTTACTCTAGTCTTGCATCTAGCTCTCCTCACTTAAATTGAATTGTGATAAAAACAGTAAAAAGATAATCACAACATTAATAAAAAAAATGCAACAGGGCAAGAAAGTATTGTATCTTGTGTTTTCGAGATAACAGAGGAAAATAAATAAGGAAGACAAACTCAGAGGTAAATAATGAAATAGTAGGTTTAATATACAAAGGTACACTTAGCAAATCACCTAATGCTAACTCTGCTTATTTATATAAATGGATGATTGCATTTGTTTATGTCCTATGTGGCAGAAAGTTTGTCTCAAAAATTCATATAGAAGTCTTATTTGAGTTTCTTATTGATGTTTGTAAAAGTTAGAAATGAATAAAAAAAAATATAAAAATGTTGATCACAGGATCATGTAGATGCAATGTAGTTTAGTATCACAAGTACATATAGAATTTATATTTCTTTACACTTGATAAGTATTTCTTTCATTGTTATCTTTAAATGTCTTGCAATTCTATCTTCCACAGCCTTCCATCCTCCAACAGCCTTTTGACTTCCAGCAGCCTTGCAACAACCATCCACCTTCAGCTGCCTAATAACAGCTTTCCACTTCCAACAGTCTTCTAACAGCATTCCAATTTCACCTCCAGCAGCCTTCCACCAGCTTTCTATTATGACCTCCAACAGCATTCCACATCTCCAATAGTCTTCCAACACCATTCCAATTCCGCCTCCAACTGCATTTTACTTTCACCATCAATATCCTTCCAGTTACAGTCTTTCACCTCCAGCAGCCTTCCACCAGTTTTCCATTATGACCTCCAACAGCATTCCACCTCCAATAGTCTTAAAACAGCATTCCAATTCCACCTCCAATAGCATTTCAATTACAGTCTTTCACCTCCAGCAGCCTTCCAATAGCTTTCCACTAGCACATTCAACAGCCTTCCAACTTCCACAGTCTTCTACCCACAACAGTTTTCTACTCCCACTTCTGGCAGACTTCAGCTTCCTTCCATTTCCACCTCCAACAGCCTTTCACCCATACCTCCATCAGTCTTGCACATTAAGTGACATCCAAATTTATTTGCAGGATCAATATATTTTCATTCATCAATGCATCGATGACCACATGAGACAAATATCTGCTGAGGAAGGTGAGTTGTATTCATGTTAAAATTCTCATTCCAGAGCACCATTGATTGATTGATTGATCAGATTAAATTAATTATCATATTTGAAAGGATTTAAGGAAAAATGGCAAAAATCAGGCAATTCTTATTTTATTGGAATATTCAGAAAATGCAATAATCACTTCTTTGTAAGAAATTGTATAATGGACTCACTTTTGTTTAGATCTTTGCATATATTGTAAGCAACAATTCCAATTGAAACAATCATTTTATACAGTTATTTCCAGTTTTTAAAAGAAAAGTTTCAGGGAAATTTTGCACAAATGTAATAGAATACATAATGAAAGATAAATGCCTTTTGTATACCATCGATTACAGTAAAGAAATCATTTTGTATTGGTGGATAGAGTGAAGGAACTAATATTCTTCATCTTTTTACCACAAGCAAAGCAATAACATCAAATAAAAATAACATAACATAGCATAAATACATAAATACACACACCATAGTTGGGATCAATATCGAGTCAATGTGAATGCCATGGTCTTTCCCTTATCTGTATAATATATCCTTCATGAGGGCTACATGCAGTTTTGGATTCAGAATTATCCATTTCCTAGACTGGTTACCAACCATGGCTACAGTGCCTAGACTACCCTATTATTAAGTCATGGTTGGAGGTTTTGAATTCAGTGTTGATCTTCTAGACCAGTTGCCACCCAAGGCTTAGAGAGAGAGAGAGAGAGAGAGAGAGAGAGAGAGAGATGGATTCATACCTTTCTCAAGGTTATTAACATGTTAATGAATGTAATGAACATTATTGTAATTTGAACTTAACTCTGATTTCTCAATCTAAGTTGCTTACCATAACTCCAAGATGCAAGAGGTTAATGAGAGTGAAGAAAACTGAGGAAATGTTATTGAGTAGAAAAGACAATAGAAGAACAGGTTTCCAAGAAACAGAAGATGACAATTGACATTGCAATTAAATTTTTGAAGTTCATAGTTGACAGCAAAGCAAGAAATTGGAAGTGTTTCAGAAGTGAGAAGTGCAATAGAGGAACTCATGTTTATATCTAGAATTAAAATGGTGAGGCCTAGCTGCCGTACTATGCTTAAAGTCATGAAGTCAAGGTACCAAAGAGAAAAGCTCATCAGAACAATTGCCATGAAAATATTTATAGCAATGGGACAGAGCAGCAGTGTGAAAAAGATTGAAGCCTAGATGGCAAGTTATGACCAATAACATTGCAGATTTGGGATTGTGTCAAGAAAGCATGACAACAAACTAACTTTTCTAGCAGCCAAATTAGCAAGTGATTTGATTTAATTGCTCCAATTCATATGAATGGAAAAATGGAGACAGAAAAGGTACAACAAGTTGCTCTCCTGGAAGTTAGCATCAGTCATGCTGATGGAAAGCAAATAAAGGTTCTCCAAGAGGATTAAAAGAGTGCAATTTACTTTTGGAAGTATTAAAATTAAGAAGCCATTTCTTGCCCCAGCAAACAACAGATAACTCATTCTTATTCAACAATACTCAAAATGGTAATTGCCAAATATATTATACACTGATAATTATTATATATTAACAGAATTGTTAGAAATATATTTAAAGACTCACATGTGAAAACCTTATAATCTTCTAGACTCCCGGAATATAACACACTGCATCTTCTTGGCCTCACATTTTAATCTAACTTGAAGTGGAGTAAATTAATAGCTGAATCTATTACAAGGAAAGTTGAGTCACTGTGTTGTGCCAGAAAAGCTTTCTCTGTCAGAGTCTATCTTGCACATTTACAAATCTACCATTCGTCCATGCATTGGATACTGTTGACATATCTGGTCTGGTGCTACTGCTATTCATGTTAAGTTTCTTGACAAAATCCAAAGAAGGATCTGTCATGGAATTGATTCTGACTTGGCATCTCGACTTCAGTCACTTTCTCACTGACATGTCATGGCTTCTGTCTTTTCTACAATTATTTCTATGGCAACATGGGTGTTTTCCTTGGTGCCCTGATTACATGGATTTAAGCATGCTACTAGATTGGCATCTAGGTCTCAACCTTTTACTGATTAAATGGTTAAATGCAACTACACTTCTACTCCAGCAGTCTTTTTTCTCACACTTCTCGCCTGTGGAACTCCATTCCATTAATTTGCTTCCCTGATAAATATAATTTACAAAAATTTAAATACAACATCAATCACCATCTTCTTGAATCCCATTCATCTTCTTGTCCTTTCCTCAATCCTCCCTATACTCAGTTTTTTCTCTCATTTTCATTCCCAGTAACCTCTTGCATACTAGTGGCATTTCTGCCTTGCTTGGGGTGAAATGATTAAAAAAGAAAAAAAAATAGTAAGGACTTAACAAAATATAATGCCATTTTTGATGGCATGGGTAGTCTAGTATAAATGTATGATTCTACTGGACATAAAGTGGGGGATTAGTTTTCTATTATTATTATTATTATTATTTATCTTCCTAAAATTATTATATAATTTATATCATGCAATTCAGTTATATATGTGAAAACCTATAATAAGGACTTAATGTTTATTAATGACATGGGGATACTATGATTAATACAACAATTGACTGGACATAAAATGGGGGATCCGTTTTCTGTTGTAATAAGTAATAAAACGATTCCTCGGAATTAGTAAATGTTAACATAAAAAACTGGCAAAAATATATTTGAACACTCACACGTGAAAATTTAACAGAATATGACATCATTTTGAATGTCATATGTAACAAGAGCAACTCTAGATAAGTAGGTATCAAATAAAAAAGTACTGCTATCAGAGGAGTTTAAAATATACTGAGTACATCCCCAATAGAAGTAATAATGCCTTTCTCATCATTTGTTTCATTGATCAACATTAAATCCTTGGTTTTGTTATTTTACTGAGACTACGTCTGTGTGTCTAAATGTTTATCTTAACTAAAGTTTTAATCCTGGCTACATCCATCTGTGGAAAAATACTTTTTAGGTTTTTGGATGTGTGACACACACATATACACACACCCACATACATACATATATATATATATATGTGTGTGTGTGTGTGTGTGTGTGTTAACAAAAGGTAATGCAAGTTTTTATTTTAAGATATGTAAGCATATACTGAAAACATAAGTCAATAGAAATCAAGGTAAATTTAGTAAAATGACGTCCACAGCTGTGGCAGTTTTAAATATCCAGACAAAAAGTATTCAAATTATTTTAATAATGACTAATGACTATGGAAGAGAGAAAAAGAGAACTTATGGGTCAAATACCAATTGATGTGGTATGTAATGGGTTTTCTTTTCTGTTACCTTCACTTAAATAATAAATCGATTATCTTTGAATTATAATGTCAGAAAGAATAAATCCACGTTTATCTTCTTATTTCAGATATCTACATGAATGAAACTCAGATGTAAAATTTATTGGAGCTGCTGCAGGTGTTTTTATTTCAATTTCAATGATTACTCTCATTTAAATAGTGAAATTTATTGACACAGAGACCTCTGTATAAAGACAATCCAGTGGACTGTTACCATACAGTTCAGATATTGTTATATATTTAATTCTCAGGCATTCATTATGCATATAAAAATTATGTCAACCTATAGTTGGTCATTGTATAGACAATATATATATATATATATATATATATATATATATATATATATAACACACACTCACAAACCTCTCTCTCTCTCTCTATATATATATATATATATATATATACACACACACTCACAAACCTATATATATATATACACACACACACACACACACAAACATATATATATATACACACACAAACATATACACACACATGCAAAGATATATATATATATATATATATATATATATATATATATATATATATATATATATATATACACACACACACACACACATACACTCATATGTATGTATATATATATATATGTATGTGTGTGTTTGTGTGTGTGTGTATGGATATACTTTCCAAGATATACATGTGAAAGGTATGATATGAAAATATATATACCAAACTAATAATTGTTAACTGAATGACAAAATGGAGCGAACATTTACGAACAAATAAATTTGATAAATCACAGCAAATAATAATACTCACCAAAGTGTTATATGGATAAGAAAAGCCAACACCACTGATGGAACCAATGGACAACTTGCCAAAAAACCTAAATACTCTTAAACAAGATAAAATTTTTAACAAGGACAGAAATAAGAAAAAGACCTAAAGGTAAACACCTAACTACTCATTAAAGTTCTCAATGACTTGATTCCCTAAACAGAGTAAAAATGCTTGTTGATGTTATGCAAATATGGCCCTAGTCATAACACGAGTTTCACACAACTTGAATGAATGAATAAATGCAATACATACATACATACATACATACATACATTTTTTGCCCTCATCAGTAGTACAAGTGACTTTCATACACAACACACTTTTCAGGTGCTGATTGATTGCTGATGTTTTTCAATCAGCACCTAAAGATTGCATTGTGCATGAAACTCAGAGTTGTTCTACTCTGCTGATGAAAAAAAGGGCATCCATAAAGTCACTTTACAATTTAAAAATATTATTACAAAAGCAAATTAACAGACATATGGAAATTGTTACAAAATGAGAAGTAAATATTGAGGTTTTTTTAATTAATTTAATATACCTCTATATGGGCACCATTAGTTGCAAGAAGCATATCAAGATGGTATTTGATTTCTTGCCATGTTCTCTGTAGCATATCCTCATCAATCGAGGCAATGGCATCAGTGCTCTTTTACTTTAGATCAATCATGTCAAATATCTTTAACATATTCCTATAAAAAGAAGTTCAGGGGAGTGATATCTGATGAATGAGGTGGTTAGGGAATTGGACCATACCTTCCAATCCACCGGTCTGGAAATGTTTGATTTAGGAACCCACGAACCTGTCTGTCCACTCTTCAGCTAAGTGACAAACTTTTACTTATATTAATTATATAAGTAAATTACTCACAAAGTGGAAGAATATGGACATTGAGGGAACAAAAATACTCAATGCTCCATTTTTTTTTTTTTAAGCATTTCATTCCAAGCAAGGCAATAAAGCCGCTAAGACACAAGGGCGTTAATGAGTATGAAAGAATAAAAAGAGAAAGATAATCAAGGAGAAAGAACAATAAAAGAAGAGGAATCAAGAAGACTTCTGAACACTATTTATGTTACCCAGTCATCACCTTTCAACCTTGATAGTGTTCAGAAGCCTTCTTGATTCCTCTTCTTTTATTGTTCTTTCTTCTTCAATAGAAACAAATCACAAATGAAATGGAAAAAAATATTGCTGATTTTTCCATTTCTTTTGTGATTTGTTTGTAGATTGAGAACTGCTGTGTTTTTAGAGCTCTCATGAAATAAAAATTATTGCCTATGGGATTTTAATTGTTTGAGATACTTTCATTAATAATAGTTTTGCTCTGTCTTTTGGCATAGAGTTCTCCATGTTTCTATATCTTCCTGGAAATTTCATAATGGATTACCATATTGTATTATTACTATGATAAAAAAATAGTTTTATGCTATATTGATAGGTTAAAGTGATCAATATCATGGATGGAGTGTATGTAAATATAAAAGGGAACAATGAGGTCAACACTCATTGACAGTCTGTTTCATGCTTAAATAATGAAACAAGTAAATAATAAACAAATTAACAAACAACAAACACACAAGTAAGCAGAAGTAAATGTAGTACTAATAATAGACAATAAATAATAAAGTAATAAATAAGGAGTAAAAAAGTTAACAACTTGACATAAAATAGCTACAAATAATTGCATTCAGATTCACAATTATTTCTACACCATAGCTTCTAGAAAAATTTGAAACAAACGCCAACCCAAAAATCATTAGGATAATACAAAAGACCTTTTACACTTGATGCACCATTGACCAGCATATATAAATAGTAAAGTCAAAACAGAACACACATGGCCTGAAGAATGTGTTTAATCATGAAACAGACTGTTGCTGCTGAGTGTTGACCTTATATATATATATATATATATATATATATATATATATATATATATGTATGTATGTGTGTGTATTGACAGAGAGAGAATACCTAAAGAGCCAGAAGCTATCTACCTACGTTTCAAAGTCAGAATTATCCTGATGATCTAGTATGTGAAACCTGGTTAGATAGGTTCTGGCTCTTTAGGAATTCTAATTTTGCATCTGCTTAGTGTATTGAGCACTTTTACGTATCAGCTTAGGTAACTCTGTCAGGGTTTTTTTCTTTTGGCTAAACATTGCAGTGCTGGTTGATTATTTGCAAGTGATATGGATATTTTTAGTTTTCTTTTTTAATGGAATTTTTTTCCCCTAGATAACAGTTTGCATAATATTTTTTTTAATTTTCAAATTGCATTATCTCTGGTTATTTATTTATTTTTTTTTCACTGCTAGTGTTAGTATATATATATATATATATATATATATATATATATATATATATATATATATATATATATTTAGATCTGAAATAAAAGTGTAGATGAAGAGACAAAATGGAAAGGCTTAAAGATGTGTTTCGCTCAATGTGATGTATGTTGGGTTTCGCTTCTTCAGGTTTAAAATAAAAGACAAAAATGTTTCTACGGTGAATTTACTGGGGTTTTAAGCACAAGAGTGCAATAAATTATCTTATCAGATCCAATGATTAGAGACCAAAAAGTGTTATCTTGAACTGATACTCAACAAGCATTGAAACACATTTACAACTCAATAACCTGTATTTAAACTAAATAATTTTTGCTAAAAAGATTATGAAATATTTCAAGTTTCTCAATAGTAGATTTACTAAAACTTCCACCAAAATCTTATGAAGACACATTGCTCAAATTTTTCAGTCATTGTAAAGGTTTCAGAGCTGTTGCAACAAAATACTATAAACTTTGCACCAATGAATAGTCTTCCCAGAGGCTTCATACTAAGTAGCAAGGTACTCATGTCTGTATATTTCCATTAAATAGAAAAAAAAATCATAGCATGTAGAAATCAAGAACATTGTAATTATAAATTAATCAGCAGAATCACTATTGTTCTGACAAACTTCATCAGTGAGAATCAGTGATATGATTTCTTTTGGGAGCTTTCTGGTAAAACTCACACATGTGCCCCATGTTGCTTAAAAGGAATGAGCAATGTTGCCTTTATATCATACATACAACTAGTTGATAGAAATTGATTTTTTGGAAAATACTTCTGAAATAAATTTACATGACTACAAATCCCAACACTTGAAGATTACTTTTCAATGGTAAGTAAACCAAAGACTAAAAGGTATTTTTGACATAACTACTGAATTAGAATATCTTAAAGCCATCATTCACAATCTTTAATTATATTTTGTTACAGATGTTATTTCCTTATAAATAATAAAAAAAAATATTTTTATTTTTACCAAAATTGTAATTTCACATAAATAAAAATTTTAACTCTATACTGTAGTTTGAATGCAGATCCTTGTTCACAAAAATTAGCAATTATGTAGAAAGTTTTTTTCATTGGAGTTTTTTTATATTAGTTTAAAATTTTAAAATAATTATTTACCAGCAATATACTTGCATGCTAATTAAAAGATGTTCTATTGTAGGCATCATTTCTGGCCTTTTATATTTAGTGAGTTTAACTTTTTCCATTTGACATTTTATTTTTCAACATGATCATACCTTGTTTAGTTCTCATTCATTCAGGAATGGAAATTTATTTCACTGAAGAGGTTTCAAATAATGCAATCAGTTTATGAAGGCTTTGAAACTTTCTTATTTACACTTCAGAGAAAACTTTAATAAGGAGAAAGGACAATAAAAGAACAGATTTCAGGAAAAAAACAGAAGATAGAGATGGATATTAAATTTAAACTCTTGAAGAAACAAGGAACTGGAAGCGAGTTCCATGGGTAAGATGAAGAAGAAAAGAAATTATTAGAATAGAACTTATGGTTAAAACTAGCCATTTCAACAGCAAAATGAAGGGACCTAATTGCCAATCTAGTACATCACTTAAATTCATGTGGCCAAAGCACATTAGAAAAGCTGCCATAGAAATATTTATAGAAAAGGTACAGGGAAGCTATGTTACTGTGATGGGAAAATGACTGAAACTGTGATGCCAGGTCAGGATCGATAACATTACAGACCCTACTTTAGATTTTGGTGGGAATCTTGAGATATATAGCAGGAGAACCCAACCCAGGTAAGGTAAAAATATTCAATGCATAGATTTAATATGACAAACACTACTTATTTTTAATATTATGTACTTGAAATATTATCACACAATATTTGTAAATTGGATACAGGGTTTCCATAAAGTCCATATATCTAAAACCAGATCATTTTTTTTAATCAATGCAAACTAACATTATTAACT